GCCACATAATCCTCCGAAACGTCGGTTGCCTTTCGACGGACTAAACGGCGTTATATTCCAGAAGACAGAATTATTCAAAAGATAAAGAGTTTTAAAATTAAGAAGGTGCAAGGTATTTTTTATATGGCGATGATATTGCAGCAAATGATCATATCTAATCGCTCTAATTTCTCTAATACCTGGATTAACAGTACTGAAGGGTGATTACTGAAAAGAAGATTAAATGCAGCCGAAAAAAAGAAGTACTTTCAGCTCAATTTGACACTGTAACCTAATTTCTTCCTCACGGCCTCGCGCTCCACAATCTGGGAACCAATGTTTCGGTGCGACAATGAACACGCCAATACAGTTTTGGACAACGTCCACCCCAGCCGGTCAGGATGCTGGGAGCGGTGTTGCCAGATGATGCGACGCAAAAATATCGCCCTTGTGACCCTCGAGCGGCGCCGCCGTGGGTTCGAACTCTATCGGCATACATTATACAAAAACGCTGTTTCAACTGCAAAGCTTGTAGATTAAATTATATGACAGCAGAACTGGAGAGGATCTGAAAGGAACCCGCCGCGGCCTGTCTGAAGGTACCATTAGCCTCGAACAACGGAGGAAAACCGCGGGAATTTCAATCAGGATAATCAGTGCTCCGCCCGGTTTGGAACAGGTCTTTTGTCCCAAGTAAGTACAAGGTTTGTTAACTGAAAACATCAATTCCTTACTCGAGTTGTTACACCGTGCGGATGTGGGGGATGTTTCGGATATACATATATTCTCCATTCTCAGAGTCCCCTGAAGACGGTGACAAGCACCTCCGAGACGCTGGCGTCCCCACATCCACACTCTAACAACTCTAGAACAGTTAGAATGTCGCATAAACTTACAATAAGCGGTCAATTAAAAAGTCTGGCATAGGTTATGTCCGCTTGTGCACGGAGCACCCCAAAATGACTACACAGAATTCCTGCATATCGCTATTTACCTGAGCTAGAACTACAAAATGTGTAGCGAATATTCATAATAAAACAAGCCCCTGGTATCACCAAATCCCAGTCTTGTATATTAGCTTCTTTCGACAGGGATCTCGTGGTGGCCATGATTACGAACCCTTCTACGTAACCAAGCACCTTCAGGGCGATGCGGTGTCTTGGGGTTCTGACGACGCATCTGGGACATGTTTTCTTGAAATGAACCTTTCATTAGATAAGGCCAAATGACCTGGGATGCCCCAAAAATATTAATCTAAATTGGAAAATTTATTACGCACAATCAGACTTCCAGTGTCTTCGAACTTCTTGTACCATCGCAGAAAGCTCCGTGTGCTGTTCGAGCTCCTCCTGTATTCATCGACCTCTGGAATTGGGTCCTGAATTTCGACTTCTGTTGCATCAACTGGTGGTTACACTTACCTGCCACCCATACGCGACTCGCCTATGATGTTAGACTACTGATTAGATATTCATTAATCACAATATCACTATTCTGAGGGAACGCGGTAGCGTAGTTGGTTGAAGCACTATGCTACAAGCTGGAAGGTCACACGTTCGATTCCCGATGACGACGCTGGATTTTTCAACTGACCTAATCCTTCCAGCCGCATTATGGCCTTGGGGTCGATTCAGCTTCTAACAGAAATGAGTACCAGGAATCTTCCTGCGAGTAAAGGGAGGCCGGCGCGTAAGGCTCACCTCAGCGCCATCTGTGAGCCGAGTATCTAGAAAATGTGGGAGCCTCGACGCCTCATAACCCTATGGCCTGCTACACGGATAACTTTACCTTTCTTTTTTACATCACTATTCTACAGTGGGCACTAAATTGTTCGTTCCTGACACATGTTTCGACCATTATATGGTCATCGTCAGATGGCTGCATATGTTGTATGAGTTGATACATTGTCAGTCATATGATCAATGCAGATGGATGGGGGGCAGTGCTTTATAGTTACCAGATTTGATTACAAATTTGAACTGGAGAAAACGTTGTTATTAAGTCTGATGTTCAGCCCAACAGTGTCATATCTGACATTCTGATCAGGCTACTTCTTGTTCAGTTTGTTCAAGCTTTTCGGGTTTCACTTTCTATCATTTCTAGGTATTTCGTCTGATACTGGGTGGTGGAACATGGATAAGACAGTACACAATTACGCTGAGCAACTTGCTTGCGCGTTGCACAAACGAGATGAATACGTGCAACAAGTAGAACCAATGTAACAGGATGCTACACCATAGAATTCTGTTGCATTGTCGTCATGTTTGTCTATGCACTGATACCAACCCTGATTCACGTTATTTTCCACCCCCTCTTCTCTCTCTCTCTCCTGTGGTTTATCCGCCAATTTTTCTTTTTGGAACAATTATGGTGCACCCTGCATGTTATGAGATNAAAAAAAAAAAAAAAAAAAAAAAAAAAAAAAAAAAAAAAAAAAAAAAAAAAGGACATGCGTAAGAAAATGCAGACAACTGGAATAGATGACTGAACGCGCATGGATACCACACTTATTAAATAACATGCAATGTGAAATGACGTTCTCACGGTGGAAAATTTAAAGATTACGGTCTTCTGGCATGTGACGCCGTGTAGTCTGGTAAACGGTGCCATGTCCAAGGAGACCGTAATCCTCAACGTGCAATGAGATCCGATTCCTATGCGAACCGAACGGCTGAAACAAACAGAAGTTCATAGAGTCGACCCTCACAGGACACTCAACTCTACGGCTGGCATGTCAATCGACCCGATTATGTTCGGTATGTGGTAATGGGAGGCACTTGATCCAAATGTCGGAGAGGCCTTGCTGTTACATGAAGCCTGCTGCTTTCTTGTGGGCTGTCTTCGGTATCTAAGCCTACAAAGCGTGGAATGGCAGGATGATCTGAGGGATGTGGTCGTGGCCCGAGGTACTATCCCCGCCGCTTGTCCGGGCGGACTGAGGAACACCACGAAATACTGACATAACAGCCGGTGCCGCAGGCGAGACTCAAACTTAGCATCTACCGAACAGGAGCCTAGAGCGTTAACGCTGAGCCAGAAGGTCGTCTGCTGTTCAGTAAGAGTAGTTAAATAAGAAATATATGTATATAATACGGGGGTACACGGTAGCGTAGTTGGTTGTGGCACTATGCTACAAACCGGAAGGATGCGGGATCGAATCGTGATGAGATCACTGAATTTTTTTAATTTACCTCATCCTTCCAGCCTCACTATGGCCCTGGGGTCGACTCTGCCTCTAACAGATATGAGTACCAGGAATATTCTTGGGGGGAAAAGGGCGGCCGGCGCGTAGGGCTGACAACCTTGCCGCCATCTATGATCCGATTGTCTAGAAAATGTGGGAACCTCAACATCTCACAATCCTATGGGCCTCCACGGCCTGTTATAGAGATACCTTTACTTCAGTTTACGTATATAATATACAATTTTCGAGAGACAAAGAATTTTCCGAATCGACCCCAACATTTACTGACTCTCCATCGTATTATGAGGTTGAATGGGTATGGAAGGAAGCGGTCGTGGTCTAATATGTGGCATTATTCTGGCAGATGCCTGGGGAGACAGAGAAATACCACGAGCAACGCGCGATTTGAACCCGGGATCTCCTAAATACGAAGCAGAGAGGTGCAAACTATCCAGCCGCGACGTTCGGTATCATGACGTAATGTTTACTTCTTGTGTTCCGGTACTTCTCACGGCCAGTACAGTATGACCTGTCGCTGGTGTGGCATGACGTCTCAAAGAAGAGCGATGCGGTACCAAACCATGTTACACATTCTGTGAAATGATTATGAAAGACGGTTTTTACCATTCTTCTAAGCAAATCTATTTTAATTTTAAATCACAATGTTCACATTTAAAGGTAAACGTACTTCCGTGTTTCAGCTGTAACGCGATACGGACATTTTCTTCATCGCGCTCTTCCAAAACACCCGTTCTTACGCCACCATTCCAGGTCGGTTCAACGCTCTCCCGTGTTACAGAATACTGCAAACCGCTGCCACCTGACGTAGGGGTAATACGGGTGATACGGGGAACAGTTTCCTATGGTAATCACCCAAACGTTGGCAATACGGCGAGTGTGCCGTACTTACTGCCGATATGCCTTTATCTGGAATAGCGTCATTCAACCGAACTTGCAGCTCAGCGATGCCGTATCAACTGGTAGATATCAAAAGCGTTTCATCACAAGAATACGTGGGCAAACGCCCATGTAAAACGGATGCGAGTAGTTAGCCTACGGTGCTACTGCTTTGACACACACGAGTAGCAGTTACTATTGCAAGGTAGGGGGAGAAGGTAAACAAAGGGGCAAATGAAACGGCCTGGCTTACATAATCACGCGCAACACCATGAGGGACTCGAGAATACTGTACAGATATGCTGTGTACTGTGTTCATGAAACCTGTACGAGATACTTAATGTTACTGTTACGTAAATTGCCTGATCCACTCTCTCTTCATTTCCTTTTAACCATTAAGTTGCTGATGTTTCTGACTGAAATGTTTGTCAGAGGTACATGGCTTTTCTTTGGTTCATTTGCTACGTCTGTATTACTGATATGTAAATTCCCGTGTTCACAAAGAGGACATATGCAAAAGCGCGTCTCCACACACTCAAAGCCTTCTGTTTGTATGGCTAACATCAAGAGGCCTACATGGATCACAATTTCATTTTCTTTGATACCGAAACTGGGGCTCCAAAACTACAATTCACTCACCAGAACACCTGCATCACGCTTCACACAAACATTTTTTAACTCGCCACTGGTCTCCGTAAACAAACCTCTGGCGACTGGGCGACTGTACTTCGGGGATCCTGCTTGAAACAAATTTAATCATGTAGGTGTTGGAAGAAGTGACAGCAAAATTTTCCCTTTCGCTTTTTTGGCAATATCGACAAGGGAACGTGACTCATAACCTGGCTTCCTATGCAAGCATGACGTTCTATATGGTAAGCATATGAGAATCGGATGAACAGTGCACGCAATTTCTACCCGGAGAGACAGTCATGCTACTTACCGCATCTGCCGACTGGTTTCCGGACTTAGTTGGCTTTGGTGATTCGGAGCGGGTTGCGTACTGGTGGGGTATGGAGGAAGGGGAGGAGGTGGCACCTCCTGCGACCCCGCCGACCGAACAGCGTCTGGAGGCGATGTCGCCCTCCTCGTCCTGCCGATTGTCATCCTCCGCCTCCTCGTCCTCGTCGTCCTCATCCTCAGATGAGGTGAGTCTCGCCTCTGCCTTGCTGCTGCTATACACTTTCCTAGCAAGGGCAGGCGAGGGAGAGGACCTGACAGGATGTCTCCTGACTCTCCCATCATTCTGCTGAGCCAAAGCTGCGGGAGAACTGTTGAACCGGCGTGGAACCTCTGCCTCGTTCCCATTGCCGTCTTCGTTATCCTCCTCGGACGACTCGTGGTTATTGTTGGTACTGTTACTGTTGTTGTTGGACTGTAAAATTACCTCGGAAGAGATAAGACGGCTGCGACGATCGACCGATGGCATGGAGCAGCCTCCCACAGCACCACCACCGCCTATTGAACGTCGGGTGACAGTTGCGGTAGCGCTATGGCTCCGTGAGTAGGCGCTTTCCGTACTCTCCGAGCTGTACCGTGTATAGTTTGAAGGAGAGTACTTGCTGAACATCTCAGTCACGCTGATGCCCGACAGAGTGGACGTCGAGGCGCCGAACCGCCGGCCCAGAGTCGTGGAGGTCGTCTTGGTGCTGTCCCTGGCTCGACTGTATCCCCCGCTCGAGGGCTCCCGGCTCTCGCTCCTCTCTCGCCCGACTGCATTGCGACCCGAAGACACAGAGATTCCGGAGTCGTCAGACAGGGAGCCCTGGCGGGTGTACGTTGACGAAGTTGTGGTTCTGTGGACACGCAAACATTTTGCTGAAATTCGGTACGGGAGACTTTCTCAATCAGCTACCGCCCACCTCCCATTTTCAGCATCCCATAACCCTCCCCGCAGATTAACATTCGACATTCCACAATGCTGCTGGGCAATTTCGGTTCCCCCCCCCACACACACACACACTTATCAATCACATAACTTAATTTATGTAAGGATACAAATGGACTTCTCCATGTATCCCCAAAAGCATCTAAGGTTATCACCGCATTAACTATGAAAGGTACTACCTTCTGGGATGTGATGCAGTACAGTTCAGTAGAAATTCAGCGACGTTTCAGAGGGACTCTTTTTTTCGCCTTAGGGTTCGACGAGTAAGCTAAGCAAGAAAAAAGCAGCTTGCTTCATTTATGCTTCTACCCTGAATACGGGGGCAGTACTTTCCTTGGAAATACCAGTACTGAGTCTGAGTCTCATTTTACGACTGACGGTCAGTCGACCAGTCTGTCTTGGCATAGAGCATCCATCTGGGGCTTGCCATCATATCTTTATTAAGGAGCGTCCACATTACTCGTGTTCGTGCTAGTGTGACTCGCTATGCTCACGAGTAATGTGGACGATATGACAAGTCACGAGACAAGCAAATTTTTAATTTAAAAACTATATGCAATAAATTAAAATAGACTACAGCCTACACACTACGAGTAAATATACGGATCCTCACGCGCCGAAGCCTGGCGAGCAACTGAAGTAGTGTGGACGAAGATTTGCGAGCACAAGTAAAAGCCAGACGAGTCTCCCGACGGGCACAAGCCTGGCGAGCGCGAGCACGAGTAATGGAGACGCGCCTTTACTGTTCGACAGTTACGGGTTTTTTTTTTCTCTGACGACAGGACGGGTCTGCCTTTTGTACACGCTGCTGGCCCTTGCCGGTGCAGTCTTTCTCGGGTCCGAGTTCCTTGGTACTCGAGACCACATTTTACTGTCTCAGATTTGAGACTTCCCTTTCCGTCGCCTCCAACGGTCTGCTGGTATTCGATTTGTCACTGTGGGAACTCAACAATTTCCATTGCTTTCTTTGCTCGGCAATGGGCGACATATAACACGTGACATTATAATTGTTGTATACAGCGAAGTGTTCATTGTTTCGGTTTCTGTGTAAAATACTGTTAATAAATCCAAAGTACGTTAGGCGTGAACTTCGTATACACAGCGGTACATACTAATACACTACTGACAAATTATAATCACTTCTTAATACAGATGGAAACGCTTAAAGCTAAAGAATTCATATAAGAATATGTTGCACAGTGCATAAACCGAAACGACAGCTACCATGCCAACTGAGGCCATGTATGCCCTCCAAACTGTTAAGTATCTCAGAGAACTAGCTACTCTCTCCTTAACCCCTTAACCCTTAGGGTTGATCAAATGAAATCCGTTTGTGGCGCTGACAGCGAAGAGAGGGGGGGGGGCGCAGGTGACGGATGATGTTGCCACGTGCACGACACACCAATAGTCGATCACGAGATGTGCAACTGAACCACATCTCATAAGAGCGACATGCTACATACAAAACACAGGACAATGAAACTTTGCTATTCCTTCGCGTTTTTTTTTTTAACTTACACGTTTTTACTCGATTCCTCAAGTACTGTCATGTGTCCGGGGTTCCGTGACAAATGATTGTGAATTCCTAGATTTGATCTTTGCGTTTATTGGACGTTACTATACATTTTCACTCAATTATAATAGTTCACACACTCTCTGTTATCTCGTACTTCACTTCTAAACTCTTTGACTTCGCTTCTGGGTTCTGCTTCGATTCTTAACTCTGCTTATAACTGCTGGCTACAATTCTGACTACGGAACTCTCCTCTCACTTGTGTTTCGTCTGACTTCTGTCCTGGTGTGTTACAACTGACAGACAGATGGCCTAGAAGACGCCTTGTTCAAGGGTTCCGCTTCACATGTTCTATGCACCGGCAACTAATGTATTCGTTACCGCGGGAACTGCATTAGTCCTGGTTTTTATTTCCGTGATAACATCTGTTATGTATGCGTTGTCGCGTGAACATGTTTCACTGTCACCCCCACGATACAGAAGCGTGGATAGCGAACCGTTGCCTAATAAAGGACGCCCGCTGACTCAGATATTCTGGCTTTTAGGCAGCACATCAAAGTATCAAAGAATATCTATTGTGCGAAGGTCATCCACAAATTTTATTCCTTAAATTTAGCTTTATTTTTACTCATATTAAAAAAATTATTCTATATGACTATATTTATTTATGTTACATCTGACCTAATTACCTGCTTTTTATTTTAATCGCAACTTTTATTACAACTTACTCAAAAACCTGTTAGCCTTTGTGTATGTTTCACCCAATGATGACCAACTCTGGTTGAAACATGTAGTGAACTAGAAACAAATGTTTCTGAAATAAAAAGTTTGTGCAATGGTGAACACTTCGAACTGTTAGAAAAATGGTTAGATGTAATTAGGCTCTCACACGTGCAACTGCCACATCAATCCAAAAGAACAAGCATGGAGGCGAATATGGATGGCATCAAGAAAAGGGGCAACGTGTACCAAATACATCAGAGAATCTGATATGCAGAGATTCCTGAGGACGCTTGAAAGAAAGCCATTTCACGTGTAACCAAATTGAGGAATAAACACGGGTATGCTGATGGTATAACCGAGCAGAATGACACAAAAAGAGTGATTCAACTCAACGAATTCTGTACATCAGCCATGTGTAAGCATCGTATGACCTACCATCAGTGAAATGTCTTCTGTTTCTTGCATACCGCGACGCCTCTTTCAGAAAGTACACAGAAAATCAAGTCCAGTTCAAAAATAATTTCTTAGATATAACAGCATTTCAGTTACACAGTCAAAAGTAAAAGTATGGTCCATATATGTTGTGGCATGTGAACCCGTTGCTAGGCAACGGCAGCGAAATAATTAACTATACAACAGCCGGTGCTAAGTAACAGCTATGCAAACAAGTATGCTTCGACAGCAGCAACTGCGCTACAAAAGAGGAACAGTGCCTTCTACGAGGGACGTGCCGAGATGTTATAAGCAGGGCCAGTTAGCTATATAGTGTGATGGAGCTTGACACCAAGACTGACTGACTGACTGACTGAGACTGACTGACTGACTGACCGACCGACCGACCGACCGACCGACCGTCAGTCGCAACGCGACTTTGACTTGTCGCAGAAAGGACGAGAACCGGTGATATAAATACGGGGACCTGACCCTCCAGGTTGGGGGAGTCTCGAATCTGAGACAGGAAAATATCGTCATGAGTCCCGCGGGATTCGGACCTCAGAATGACTGTGTTGGTGAGGCCCAGCAGCAATTGTAAATGACAGACCCATTCTCTTGCCAGAGATGAAGTTACCTAAGGTCTATAATCGCAAGTGGTCAGTTGGAAAATGAAAATTCTGGTCGACGGTCTCAAGGGGCTTGCCGCCAAGACGAACTGATTGGCGGTAAACCGTCAGTCGTAAAGTAAATGACTCTATTGTAGAGAGGATGTTATGTGAGAACTATGACAGTAAGGGTTCAACTGCAAAAAAAAATGGTTGTGTGCCTCGAGCGGCGCGGCACCAAGATGAACTGACTGGCGGTAAACCACCAGTCATAAAGTAACTCTGACTCTGTTTCAGCGAGTGAGTCTGGAAGGCTCCCAGAGCCGTCAGACAGTAAAATATGGTCATGAGTCTCGTGGGACTTGAAACCAAGAACACTGTGCTGGCGAGGGCCAGCAGCAGCTCTTTTCAGTAAAAACTACTTTCTACATCTTCGTCAATAAGTAGTAATTATTGCTGCTTTTTTTAATTTTTAAGAAATGTCCCATGTTTATTTTACATATTACTCATATATGATTGACACAGAAGTTACCTTGAAAATGAAAAAGTTAGGTATATCACACATGCACACACAATACAGACATGAACAGTCTGTGAGACAATACAGAGTTTTTGAACTGATCATTACCAATCACTTCGTGCAAGCAAACTGCATTTCTTGATCCCTGAACTGAAAAAAAAAACAGAACTCAGGTACTCACCTGGATGGTGATGGGTATTTTGATTTATATTCTGAGGTGTATGACCTTGGGATTGTTCGTGTAAGGCTGGAATAGTAAGGTCGATCTAAGGAGCTGCTGAGGGAGGTGGTCGTTCTATAGCTGCTCCCAGTCATAGAAGAAGTGAAACGACTGTGAGATGGAACTGGCATCTTGTAGCTGACGGGCCCTGACGACACCGTAGCCACAGCACCACTGCAGTAAGGCATCACCAAGGTGCCCAACGGCCTGGAAAGACAACACACCACTGTACATTCTGCCTGTCTCAACTTCCTTGATATCCTTAAATGTATTTTGATACATTTTTTTCAAGAGAGCCCTTGTTGAATTTTGGGGCATAATATTAATTTGGATGTTAGTAGTCAGTAAGGACTACTCCTTTATTTGACTTGCTTACGCTTAACAAACCATTCTGAAAAATGTTTCTGACGCAAGTTATACATTTTGTGAAGATGAGTATAATATTTTGCACATAAATTTACTGCATGATGAGTAAATTTTAGAATAATATAGTAAGTTTTACTTTAACATTAGCATTTAATCACTGTGTGAGATCTGAGGCTATTATAGTAAACATGAAAGTATTTTGGAACATGAAGCCAATACAGTCTGACCGAAAGATACCAACGTTTCACATAAACTTGCTGTCACCATCTTCAGGGTACAGGAATGAAGACGCAACAAGTTCCTCAGAAGCAATAGTGCCTTACCATGCGGTAGCGTAGTTGGTTGAGGTACAATGCTACAAGCCAGAAAGTCGTGGGTTCGAGTCCCGATGACTTTTTTTTTATTTGCCTAATCCTTCCAGCCGCACTACGGCCCTGGGTTCTACTCAACCTCTAACAGAAATGAGCTCCAGGAATCTTCCTGGGTGTAAAGGGCGGCCGGCGTGTAAGGCTGACAACCTCACCGCCATCTGTGAGCTCGCTGTCTACAAAATTTAGAAGCCTTGACGTCTCACAACCCTATGGGCCTTCATGGTCTGTTAACAGGGATAGCTCTAACTTTTATCCCTGTAATACGCCGTGGAGGCCCATAGGATTCTGTGAAGCTGAGGCTCCCACATTTTCTAGACAATCGGTTCACAGGTGGCGGTGAGGTTGTCAGCCTTATGCGCCGACTAACTGGCCGCCCTTTACCCCCAGGAAAATTCCGGGTACTCATTTCTGTTAGAGGCTGAGTCGACCCCAGAGCCACGGCGCTGATGGAAGGACCAAGTCAATTGAAGGGGGAAAAAAAACACATTAGCCTGATCGGGAATTGAACCCGCGACCCTCCAGCTTGTAGCACAGTGACTCGGTCAACTACGCTACTACGTGCCACTATGTGATATGACATTACATTCCAGATGCAGCTATCGTGTAACATTCAATATACTCAAGCAGTGTTCGACAGACAAGGCAGTCTATGTCACAAACATGATGTGCCAGCAGACATGGTTAGATATCTTCATGTGCAAACAGTATGAGTTGAAATGTGTGTTTGGTCACTGGGTTAGTGTTTCTTCAAAACACAGGAAACTGTCTGAGATCTACCTGGCTCAAGAACCACTGAAATCTACTTGTACACAATTAGTGGATGGTGACTAAATGTCACTTTTAAATTCTACCTGCTTTCAAGAGAAGACACTTCATCCCCCCCCCCAAACAGTGGAGAAACAATCATTGGCCTTTTAGGGCGAGGGCACACCAAAGAAACTGGCAAACGCACTGCAACCACAATTTCTGAGAAATCTCTCCGATTTAAAGCAGGCAACTGGTTTCCAGGTTAGCAGGTGCACACTGAGGAAACTTGTCTTATTAATTGCTGGCATCATCTTAAGTGGGTATGTTCGTCCGACATAATGGGTGGTTGTATTTTTTAATTTTGTGTAATAGACGATAATAATACTGATCCTGTTGTCGTGAAACAAGACCTCGGGGAGTATTTTTGAGACGACACTTTATTACTCAACGCCGTCACTACAATTCAACGCAACTATAGCACAGGATGTTGAACAAGTCGTTTCACAGTCAGTCCTATCGTGTTAAAAACTATCTGGTGAATGTAAAACTGTCAAACTCCCAAGTCCAAGTCACATTGCGACTGACGGTCAGTCACTCAGTAAGTCTTGGTGTCGAGCCCCATCTGAGGCTCCTTTTCGTCGCCTCCTAGGACTCGCAGGGTCACGGTGGAGGTATTGGACCCCGCCGCCACACGGGGTGGATGTCAAACTCCCACTCAATGTATCTTCTTATGTACGCTAGAGTCAGACCTACAGAAAAATATGTCACTGTCCGTATTGTTGCAGGCTTTGCCCAGCACCGGCTGCTTACTCAGCCGTTATTTTTTTATTGCTAGTGGGGTGGGACTAAGCCCCTTGTGCTGCGGCCACTTCTGGCTTATTGTACCAGCGCCAGATGATAGGTGAGGGTGATTCTGGATCAATTGGTGGAATGAAGACTGGCAGCGGAAACCGAAGTACTCGGAGGAAACCTGCCCCAGCGCCACTTTGTCCGCCACAAATCCCACTTGACCAGACCCGGGATCGAACCCGGGCGCCCGCGGTGGGAAGCCAGCGACTAACCGCTTGAGCTATGGCGCGGCCGCAGCCCTACTCAGCCGTTGCTAGACAGCGAACGGTTTCTAGCTTGCAATTGGCTAGCACATGATCCACTGCGGGTGCTTCCCATAGTCACATGCTGTAGATCTTACAAAGCAACGACTGTTTACTCGCCGATGCTAAGCAGCACTACCTGAGCTGTCACTGTAGCATTTGCTTGAATGTGGCTAGTTCTCACACTTCGTTCAACAATACGTTCCCAGGCAACGAACCTTCAATGAAGATCATTCAGTTTACAGGGTAACAGCGTTACCGCCCGGCAAATAACACGCAACGACTAGCAGAGCAAACTCTATGCAGTCATGGATCATAAATCAAGGAATTGCAGGGGAAAAAAGTCTCAATTCCTAACACCGGTCATAATAATGTTGGTAGTTGAGACGGCGGGGGGAGAAGACATGACGACGACTACAAGGAAAATATTGGGATGTTAATCAATTTGTTTTAATTAGGGTCAATTTATATGAATCAGGAAATACAGCTTTCACACGCGATGCAAAATTTTGACATACAGTGCAACAATTTTATCAAGGTAGCACCTGATGAAAGAAACCACTGAGAAGACCAAGGCGTAGGTGGGTGAACAATATTACAATGAAAATTAGAGACTGGAAGGGATGGTATGGAGTGGATTGATCTGGCTCAGGATAGGGACAATTGGAGGGCTCTTGTGAACACGGTAAAGAAACTTTGGGTTCCATACAATGATGGGAAATTCTTGAGTAGCTGCACAATTGGCGGCTCCTCAAGAAAGGCTCAGATCCATAAGTAAGAGTAAGAAAACACCTGATGATGGCCGTCTACAACCGAACCATGTAATGAGAAAGATGGGTGACTATGTAATACGCTGCATTTAAGACGGGAATATATGTGAAATAAATGATATATTATTGCAACACGATTCTTAAATACAATGTTTTTTTCCTTGGCAATACAGCCCCAGTGGGCCTAGGCCTACCTCCATGAACTCCGTTCACTTCGGTTTTTCTAGATCTTACACATACGGTAGGACTCCTTGTGCGAGTGATCAGCTCGTCGCAAGGCCTCTACCTGTAGTCAAACACAGAAAAACGCACAGAAACATCCATGCCCTGAGTGGGATTCGAACCCACGATCCCGGCTTCCGAGCGAGCGAAGACAGTGCACGCCTTAGACCGCTCGGCTACCGTGACCGGCTAAATACAATGTTAGGGAGAGAGAACATCGGGTGCATCCGTTTTCTGCGACAATTTAAACTAATGCGCTTATACTCTTTCGAAAGAACTTAACCTGGATCCAGACTCCGTCTCATGAGAAATTCTTTCCCAAGCCAAATCTATTTTGTCCTGCCTAGCACAGTCTGGGTGGCGTTTGTCACATATACCCGACTCTTGCTCAATTAACTGCACACAAACAAAATTAACAGCTTCGTCAACGTTTACTGCCATCTTAAGAAACAAATGGATCACCGAAGAGCGCTAAAGAACAGCTGACATTAGGAAACCACGCGGTGGCGCAACTGTGAGAAGACTGGTATGTTCCCCTGCCTGGAAGTTGAGTTTCTCAGTCTTTCCCCGAGTTGTGTTGCCGTTTCCTTAATTTGCGCTGCTCCATTCAGTAACATGTGTTCAACTCAGGCTGATAACAATTTTTTGAAATTTCGGTTTCCAGTTTCCTTGGTGTGCCCTCGCCTTTACTGTTCTTTGAGTAACTTCACCTGCTCAGTAAATATAAAAACAGTGCAGGCCGTAACAGACAAACCAAACGCCTGCCAGGGGGGCGGCACTTTTACAACATATACTTTGTTAGGTGTAAAAACTGATTTCTGCTAATCTTTCATTCATATCATGATCTTAATTGACAGATACCTAAAGAAGTTTCACAATGCAATAAGTGTGTTTTAAGAATTAACACACTAATGACAGTTTCTGTTACTGTAAAAACTTCATAGATATTATGAAAAAGTTAAATAGTTCCGTCCTGTGTGACTGGTTAAGATTTTTTTATTTCAATTATTCATGCCCTTACATTTTTCGGTCTTCAGAGACCATGTTCAGAGGGACAACTTTACATCAAGGCTGTTAGAAGCCACCATTACAGTACATATTCTACAAGTTAAAATATATACATACAATATAAACACCATATAATTGGCTGTAAAATTTAAAGTCTTTACAACTATAGCGGCTGTTCCAATACTTTAAAATATTTATAGTTAGTTTGTTAAGATTCTATTGGAATTCGTAAACCAAGCTGGTTCGTGTCATCCCTCTTATTATTTCTTTTGACGGGGGCTGAAGAGGAACTATTTAACTTGTTCATAATATTAGTGTGACAAACCAGAATGAAACAAATCAAAGTCATAGGTATTGTTATGAAGTTTTGACAAAGGCAGTCTTATTTAACTGTGGGTGAGGCGCTGAGGTGGAATCTCATTACTTGGGTCAGCATTTAGGACTGAACTGATTCAGGATAAATGAGAGCTAAATGTCTGTGATCTCACCAGCAAGTTATAGAGTCATAACGCCATCTTAAACACATTCAATACATCAAGGCTGTCATCCAATGTACCTCAAATGTCAAGTTCTGGTACATTCACAGTTAGACACTGAAAGTACACTCTTGTAAGGTTATATTTATCGTACAC